CATTTTTTAATGATACTTAATTTTTCAATGTTTCTATATTTTACTTATGTATATGGTATATTATGTATGATATAAAATATAAAAATTAATGTTAATAAATTGTTATCGTATGATGAACACTGTAACTATCTTTTATAAAATATAATTTATTAGAATTTCACTAAATCAATAAAGACAAGAGGTTTATTAGTCATGGATTGATAGGACAAAAGCGAACACAGTAGTATAATAAATAATAATAATAATAATAAAAATAATTTATGATCTAAGATTTGGAATGCAGGTCCCTTTATTTTTAGTGAGTGTGTTACATGTTTTTCTTGAAAAATTAAATTTAAAAGCAATGACTAAATACCATAATTTATGACGTTTAATCGATGATGATTATGAACGTAAAAGTTTAAATGTATTCTTCTTTAAATCTCCCCTACACTGCAAATTCGCTTGTATGGATTGTGCTAATAATCAAAAAATACCTATATCCAAAGCATTAATTATTATTATAATTATTTTATACTTGATTTCTAAATGATCGACAGGGATGTAGTTTAAATTTTTATAGGTTTATTTTTCTATACGAAAAATGGTGTTCATGCAGAAAGAGATAAAAAGAATCAATTTTACAATCATTGTAAAATTAATAGAAATATTTTAGTCTTGTAGACGATGATGGCATTTCTTTGAAAATCATAATGAGTTCAACATCAATCTATTATTAGTCATTTTTTATACATGTAAATAAATATATGAATATATTATTTATAATACCGAATTAACTGGGATTTGTCGCTATAATTCCTCAGTCCGTATTTTTTTTTTTACCGGTTTTGTTTTTAATTCGTCTGCATGGTGTAGTTAACGATTTCTCCTTTGGTACTTAATATACCTACAGTAGTACGGTCGATTCGTAGAATAAAATTATTAACTTCACCAATCTCTATGCTTTGTCCGAATTCGGATATTCCTCATTTTTAATTAAAACTAAAAATATAATGAGTAAAATATAGTATAGGTATATTCGTTATACCATTATAATGCTCATGTCCGTCGTAGTAATAACAATTCTTAATTGGTCATATCCTTTGAGCGTTTTGAAAACGACAGTACACTATTATTACAGCTTTTCAGTTTTCAACTAACCGACAATATTATTTTATGATTAGATTTTGTTTATAGATAATATTTTGATATTATCGTCCATTTATTTATGATATTAATTAATACATTACTATAAATGTTAATCGAATATCTTTTCTTTATTATTTAGTTACAAATTATTTTTATACATTAAAACAAATTCCAAGAATTAAATAATTGACATTAAGTGTTTTTATTGTGTGTTTTAAAGATTAAATTCTAATGAAGCTATTTTCAGACATGATACCTGACAATATTTTCTCTGCCGTTGCAGAAACAAATTTTATGTAGGTCAACAAAATTTCATATATTTTTAATCTTTTTATTCGCGTACACATCGTACAATAAATAAATTATATATTAAAAATAACTTTTTCAAATTCTGAGAATTTGCATAATTTAATATCAATTCTTAAAATTCAAATGCATTTTCCTCGGTGCAATCATAATTTATCATACATCACTAAAATGCTAATTTTTTTCCCCCGGAATCTCGAGTTAAGATTAAAGTTGTTGGGTGTGTTTTTTTGTATTATTATTAGAACCATACGCCGTTTGTACATAATTTCGACCATTTGGAATTAATGAACTGACCTAATGATAATTTAATACAGCATTTTATTTTAATACACTCCACGGTATACGATATAATATGTGGACCGCACGCGAAGAGTATAAATTTAATATTATTAATTATGATTTATGACGAAACCTTCAATTTTTATTAATTTACTATACTATCCTTTAGTGACGTTGATGGTTGAAAGTAATGTAATATTAGTATAATTTTAAATTAAAATTATAATTGTATAGTTTTTTTATGGTCCGTTTAAACGGAAACTATTTTCACTTTAACATTTATAACACATTTGATTTATTTCGAGGTTGGGTTATTTTTGTATACAATATAATATTATAATATATTTACGAATTTCTATTACATGATTTGAGCTTATCTATTAAATTTAATAGTGATTATATAATCAGTTAAAAATCATTAGCATTCCTAATTTAGTAGTATCCAAAATTGAACACTGGTCGTATTTGCAATAATAAGTTCACTTACAATTTTTATTTTCTATAGATTTTAAAAGCATTTTCATAGTATTTTTAACGAATTAATGAGTTCTTAAACATTAAGTATTTATTTTAATTTCATATATGATATATTATTATCAATAAACACAAAGACCGATATGTCTTTGGCCCGGAACCAATTTGATTATTACTTTTGACATTGGAATGTGAATGCCGTTCAAATATATGTATATAAACTTACCTACCTAGTAACAATAATACCTAGTTTAGTAGGTACCAATAGATTATATTATAGTAGTAGTAGTAGTAGTAATAGTAGTATTAGTAGTAGTAATAGTAGTATATTTAATACCTAGTAGTAGTAGTGGTAGTAGTGGTGGTTGCGGCAGTAGTTTTATAGATACCGTCTGTCTAGAAAACGATAGAAATGAGTGGGTCGACCGGTACGGTACCGTTGGAAAATTCATAGATCGAGTCAAAGATTTGGTTAATCATTTCTAAAGATAAAACCAGCATCCTGTCAATCAGCCACTACTATTTAGTTTGACCGAAAATAAAAATTCACTTTTCGTTTGAAATACATTATAATCTACTATTAAACATACATAATATACCGGCTGCAGCTATAAGTAATATATATATATATATTTAATACAAAACCGGAACACCGATCTGTAATATATTTATGATGTTTGATTTTGACATAATTTCTTGTTCACCGACCCGAGTTTCACTAGCCTCAGGATAACATATAATATAACTATGTACGATTGAATTATAGATAATACATAGAAATAAAAAATAATAAAAACATTTTTTTTTTTTGCTAAAGCTGTGCTGCTACTCGGGGGCAAATAACTTTATTGCGAGTTAGGTTTTTAGTTTTTTTACATTTAATAAATACCATAATGTATTACAGTACCATAGAGTATGCGTACAGAATAATTGGGCCTCTGATTCACTCGGCCGGGTGTATATAACATTACTATAAAATTCCGCGCCTGTGGACTGAACTATGCGAGTGATGTGTTTTTTGTAATTTTTTTTTTGTCTGTCCCTCGCAATGGTCTTGTAAATGTGGTTACTCCAAAATCATATAATAACAAGCTGGCAAACAAAATTATATATTATATATATATATATATATATATGTGTGTGTGTGTGTGTGTACGTGCAAGTCTGCAGATTATGAGCGTTTGACCTACAAATTTTAATATAATTTTTAGTCTCACGAATATATTAGTCGTGCGTATTATGTTTGACAATGCATTTGATAGATAACTTCATAATACATATATATAATAGTGAAATTAAAACACCCTTAAAATACGTGGCAGAAACGCAAACCAATTGAATCGATTTATATAACAACATAATACATTTGTATGTTATTATATTTTGTAATTTCAAACTTAGATATATTGTAAAGAAAGCAATATATAGCATGGTACGGATTTCGTAAAAGAAATAAGACCATGTACGAGATACGAATGTACGAAGCGGCGAGGAAGAAAAATATTAAAAACATTAATCATACTTGTATAAATGGTAAACCTATCTATATATATATAAATAATACACGTCATATTATTATCTGCGCGGTCCCGGAGTTACAACGAGTTCGACGGAAGTGCTCGGCGTTATAATAATAATAGTAGGTATTATATGTACACGTTTGGCATTTACGTGTGTTTAGATTTCGATGGCCTCCGTGACCCAAGTCGAAAACGGACGCGTGTACATAATAAACGCATGTCGATTTTTATCGCAAGTCGCGGTGAGATTTATTATAATACGCGAACGATGAATTCCTAGAAAGTCCTGTATGATGCTACATGCAGTTTAATATTATATATAATGAATTGCATGTCGCGCTCGCGACAGAAACGTTTTTGGCTCAAAACGTTCCAAGACTATAGCTGTTATATAGACGTTGAATAGATAATAAAAGTAATAACTATTATTATTATTAGTATAATATTGCAAGTATTGGGGACTTGGGGTATAAAGCGAATTTGCGGGGTCACTGGAAATTCACAATTAACTCATTTTGATTTTATCGTTATCATATTATTTATTATCGTATTTCTAGAGTATTATTAAAGATGGTAGATTTTTCGCATCCTTAGTCAAGAGTAAACACACTTTTCTCAGCTATATCCGTACTTATAGTATGGGTAAATGGTATAGGTAAATAATTATATTAATAAATCATTGTATGACAGAAAATATATTATTTTCGACACGTTTGCTTAAGGCGTACATCAATGCAGTTTTTTGTAAATTATAATAGTTAATATTATATATATATTATCGTACAACAACTAATTCCGTTACACGTACAATTTGAATAAAAAAACACTACTGGTTTATAATGTATAAAAACTTTGTTATAATTTTTCTAGAAACAATGAAGTCGTGTGCCCCATTGCCCCGTTCTGAATACATCTCTGTAGGTCTACGTGTATAATATATAAACTGTGCACTATTGTACTACGCATTTAAATCGCTTTTTACGATTTTTACAGATTTCACACGTATTATCAAATATTTGAGGCTTATGCTTTTTGACATTTACCTACACTTGATTATACGCAGTACCTATACCTATACATTTTACATTGTACGTTCAATATTATGCAGTTTGACTACCTATTATATTGTTCTACAGTTGTATTATGACGAAATCTCGCGCATTATAATAACTCTACTTGTTTACACTATATATAATATAATGTGTGTGTATTAAATAGTTTTAGGTAATAATAACATTAGAAAAAAAAAAATGTATTACATTATAATAATTTTGTTTTTTTTTTTTTCAGCTCACCGGTCATGTGGAACAAATCGTCAAGTGTAAAAACGTTTAATCAACGTGACTGTCAGCCATCATATACATATTTACAGCAGGTAAGCAGTCAGAATTTGACACACAAAGTTTTTTTCTCCACCCTACCAAATAATACGTTTACACATTTATTTAAAAAAAAAAAAAACAAAATACGGGTTGCTTATCAATATCATTTATAATACATTATGTATTTGTAATATCTGGTGTGGTGACCAAAATTGGCACTGTATTTTTTTACCTGTCACCGCAAGTTCGTTATACTGTATTATAATATATACCTTGACAGTTTATATGTATACAATATAATGTGAAGATGGCTGGACAGACGAAATTCTTTTTCGCGGACTTATTATCCACGAATGTACTTTAGTCAAACCGGTTAAATGAAACGACCAGTTTTTTAATGCACAATATATATATAAACACACATAGTCCAGTTTTATTATTACTATTATTTTTTTTTATTTAAATCGTATTATTTTCACCATTATTTCGGCCTGGCACAATATGATATGCAGCGATAGAAAAATATGCAGGATGTAAAAAATTGTTTACAATATTTTATTCGTTTCCTCGTTATTTTACAACAATAAATATAAAGTTATTGGCATCTGTTTGATCTTTAATTAATTATAGGCATTATAGCCTTTTTTTTTTTTGTACCAAACATGCATTATTATTTTTTATATTTACATGATTAATAATGTACCATTGAATTAAATAACTACGAAATAGTAATTAAATAAACCAATAGTAACTATACCTATGTAAAACTAAGGTCATTTTTTGTTTAATGCATCAAAATTAATGTAAAAAGAAGAGTAAAAAAGCTCATATTTTCATCAAAAATATGGATTCAAAATTAATTAAAATACAAGAATATAAAATATTTTTTCATCAAAAGCTTCAACTGTTTTTAGATGTTTCTTTAATAATTTAAAGTATTGTTGAACTTCTTCGTGATTCTTAAAACATTCTAAAAGTCCCACGAATTCAACTAGTAATTAATATGCAATTATAATGCAAGTAAAATTTATTCTACGCATCACTTCCGGCTACTAAATTTGAACTACTTTCTAATTTCTACAAAACTTTAATTTTTTCCTTTATTTAGTGGAAAAAATAAACATAAAAAAAAATAAATACCAATAAATATTCTATTTCATTGAGTTCATGTTAAATAAAATTAAAAATAAAACTTTTTTTATACTTATAATTTTTTTTTTTCATATTTTTGAATATATATAATTTGTAAAGGTATTTACTATAAGCATATATACGTAAAAGAAAAATAACAATAAACAATATTAATATATAATATAATATACAAATATAAGGACATAGTGACGTGAGGAGAGTAGTCATCCAGCAGTAACACTTAAAATACGTATTATATAATTTTTTGAAAAAATTATATCAAATGATTACGACTAATATTGTCCTTAAAATTGAATATAATTTACGCCATAAAACCTAGTATAACTGTCCGTAGTTTTTTCAAAAAATTTAAATTGGATTTCAACGAAAGATATCAAGAGTGATTTTTTTTTAAGTGATAATTCTGTAACATAAAGTTTTTATTAGTGCTTAATTATTTGTGGGGCTGGTTTAATATATTAATAGTAATAAAATTAATGACACCTTCAACAAATAATTAACAATATAACAATTGTATACATCATAGATTTTAAATTATTTTAATAATTAATCTTTGAATGTTCATAAAAAATGTATATAATTAATAACCATACATTCACACTTGGTTAAATTAAAAATCTATTGAAAAAGTATTTAAAAAAAACTTAACTAAATAATAAGTAAATTTTAGTACATAATAGTAATTAGTACTTATATAGTTTCAGCCTTCATATAATATATGTACTGGTTGCTAAAAGATATATATTTTTATTATTATTATTATTATTATATTTACATATCATAATAGATTACATAACATTGAATAAACAAATATTTAACAATAAGTGTGAGTGATGAATTATTTTAAGAATATTAAATAGTTATGAGTCTTGAGTGAAAAATCATCCATTGATGGAACGTATAATAGCTTCATGGCATTATGGTAATGATTTTAGTCACGAATTGGTAAAATAATTTTGAAACTGATAAACCATAAAAAATTCTTTGGTAAAAATCGATTGTTTTAAATTTAAAACAGTTTCGCTATAATTTGAAATAATTCATATTACAGTAAATTTAATATGGCAACAAATATTTAATGCTAAATAATAATTTACAAGTTACAATAATTATTGCCACTATAGTCTATAATAATATATACTTTCAAATTATTAAATACATTTAAAACAGATTTTAATTGATAAACTTGATATTTTTTGATTTATTAAGGTATGAAACCTCAATTAAATTTAATTGAATTACAAGAAATAGCATTAAAGCATTTTTCAATGTTACAGGTCATTAGATCTTCCCAAAATACTTCAAAGTTATTGATTTTTTTTTTTTTTACTTTACTAAGCTTTATTTATTAATATTGGATCAATATTCAATAGATATACGTTTAATTAATGCATTTATTATCTAAATGATTTCGAACTTGTATTAAAACATTATTTAAATAATAATTTTTAATTCATTTTAATTAATCGAATAAATGCATTTACAAGTTGGTAAGCAATAATAATTTATATCTTATTAATCGAGATAATAAAATAATAAAATATGAGAATAATATATTTATATAATCTTACCCTTTAAAAAACAAAATTTATCAACGACCTTACATTTTAAAATTAAAAAGAAACTAACACAATATTAATAATGAATATTAAGTAGGTATAATAAAAATTATTCATTAAATATCTATATTCACATGTGTAAGAAAACAATTATTTTTTTAGTTACTTTACAATCTATAAACATTAATATTATTTTTTTTTACCGCTATAAGGTCGAATTATTGACATAAAAAAAAATAATAAGAAGAAAACACTGGGTATTGGCAAAAAATATAATATTAATGTTCGTTTTTAATTTAAATATTGTCTTTATTTTTCATTCAATAAAATATTAATATATTGTATCTTCCAGAATGATCAGTATACCATATAACATGTTTTTTTAAGAATAATAAAGGAAGTTTTAAGCCCCTAACATTATTTTTTATACGAATATGGTTTTTTTATACATATATAACATATTATATACTCATAATCGATACTAATCAAAACTCCCGCTGTTTGAATCGTTGTTGGATACTAATACATCATAACCTGAACGATTATGTTATGATATGTAATTATAAGAGCACTACGAGTCACGACCTCGCGTGCATCCAACGTCTACAGCCATGCTGGTGGGCTGTACGGTTTTTACTTCGTGCGTATTGGAGGGATTTATTTTTTAGATAACGGGGAGTCCTAAAAATATTTTGCTGTGCCTATATAATATATTATATGAAATATAACGACGATCATTCATTTTAGGTTATATTATTATGATATATACGAAATGATAAACCACGCATAATCACCCCCCGTGATGTTTTCCTTTACTAATTCATTCAAATTCTTATGCTTCGAATTTTTAATTACACTCAAAAACCATGTTAACCTAACCACTTAATGAGTGATCTGTGGTGATAAAATTACTCTTTTTTTTAAACCGATAACGTTTGCTTGTATTATTGTTTTCAAATTATGTAGTTACGAAAACATTATGGTAATGTGTATACATAATAATAAACAACGTAAGTTGTTGCCTAATGTGACTGCTGGTTCAATAAAATGTATCGTTAGTTTTAATTAATATAAAAAAATACCAAATCATATTAAAAAAAAAAAAAATATCGAAAAATATTTTCATTGACTCCCCTCGGCTTTTGATAATATTAATGTCTATAGGTAACACGTGCGTGTTTTAAAACTTATGTTATGCACACATAAACATCAGTAGTCATTCGTAACATCTTCATGTATTCCTTCTAGGCTTCAGTACACATAGTATATAATTGAACGATGGCATACGCGTATTATACGCGTAGTATAATATAGGCTCTCTGATTAATTATTATATTTTTTAACATATGAACAAAAAACGAAAGTATAGTTTCCTCACCGCACGGATGAGATCTCGCTGAGTCACCTGTCATCAGCAGTGTAACTAGTAGGTTTTTTAGTTGTTGAACACACCCTTTGATTATATATTTTTTACAAAGATTATACTTACTATAGGTACGAGTTTGAGATTTTAACAAAATACGTTGTCATATATTTTTACAAGTTCTATTCCATATTTGATTTTATTAATATGAAGGTTGATAACTACAATAAAAAGTATGCAAATCTTTTATCCCATAAATTATATTTAAGTTAAAAATTATGATATTCCATTAAAAAATTCCTGATTTCGCATCGTATAAAATTGTCATAGTTGTAATTATATAATATTGTATTGTTGTCTTTGTACAAATTTCCGCTGCTGTATATTATTCAAATACTGAACTATGTACTGGATACGAAAATTCTGTAGATTCAGTAGCTACTGCTTAGCTATTGCGCTTGTCACCAGATCTACTCATAGGTACGTTAAAACCGCAGTTTAAACAGACTATATCAGACATACGCGCAGAGTAGTGAGAAAATCACAAACCAATATTATAATATCGGCGCGCTATACATACATATTATACAGACATACATTATATTATAATATACAATGCACACGTTGCAACGATATTATCCCGTTTTATAGGTCACGAACGATTTAACACTAATAAATATTCATATAGTAGTTACTTATTATACGCACACACACTGTAACAGCGCGATGCTAATAGGCGACTTTGTTCTACATCATGCACTGTTTAATGCAATTGCTACTATAACATTAAATATGTACATGTAAATATATTATATGAAATTTTGATATGCATTTTTAATTTTCACATACTTCAAACCACAATATCCCATTTGGCGCATGTAATTCCGCTCTGGATTTTTATCAGCCATTTATCGCGGACGTACAATATTATAATATACCCATGTGCACATTATTTGTATACATACATACATGGTATATA